ATTCGTTATACATTCCGCATAATTCGTTATAGCGTTAACGAAGATTCTTATAACGAAGTCCTGATCGGCTGGATCGGTAACTTTGTTATATCGAGGTGTGACTGTACTCTTGCATTACATTGCAGATATTCAACAGGTTTAGTGGTAATAGAAGAATAGTCTTTGCCATCATTTTTTGGATGTTTGAGCAGAATAAATAAATAAATTTGCAATATTAAACGATTTATAGCAATTTATCTGTTTAGCGGTTTATAATAGTTTTCTAGTGATTTATTAAGTGTATATGTTAATGAATATCATTTAGCGTTTTAGCCGATCCGATTTATGTTGATTATTGCCTTTCGACATACAATAATTTCACACTTTAGTTATATTAGTTAAAAATCACTAGTTTGTTGCGGTTGTTGCGGACGAAAACTTCATTAATTCAATAGATTTATAAATGCCCAACTACGAGAACGTGTCCATCTGCTCTATTTTGTCACATGTTCAAAGGAGACTTTATCGACATATGAATGTGATCAGATTTGTTATTCAACCCTTTGCCTGATCAACAATTAAATCAGTGTTGGGAAATGGACACTTTTACACTTTTTCCTGTCCAAAACCTTGTCCAAAAATATTTAAAATCAAAAGATGTGTCCAAAACCCAGCACAATTAGAGAAACAAAAAAATTTCAAAAAGGTCCAAATATTTATAATTTAAACAAAAAATTTGTTCAAAATTTTGAAATGGTTTGTGTTAATTGCATAATGTATGTATAAATAATAATAGCCCTAATTTTCACACTATCCTTTTTTTTATTTTTTTTTTTTAATTACAGATAGACGAACCTTTGAATCACGAATCTTGGTCGTTAGTCCTAGAAAGGACATATCTTGGTCAAGAAACATACCCTACATTGATATATCCAAGAGATATTGAAGAAGCAATCTTTTCTTATATCAATGGTTATGTCAACACACAAAGGTGTAGAGCTAGATATCCCGGACGAATCATAATTCAGAAGGGATTTAGGTGGCAATAAAATTGTTCGGATGGTCATAGTGACTAGAATGAAACCGTGGGTAATCATTACCTACATAGTTACATCTCGACGAAGGTATTGGGAAGAGATGTTTATTAATATGAATGTAATTATATTGAATGTATTCAAAATATTACTTTAACAAGATAATGGTTTCTATTGCGATATTACTAAACCGTCCTTCGCGAATAAAATATTTCAGGAATCACTTAATATAGGAAATAATGTAGGTTGGGAGTATCCAAAAAATGAAATAATGGTGGGACGCTTTTCAGGGGATAAAACAAAATTTGATAATTAAGTACAATAAGCGGATCGAAGGACAATTAAACTATAGACAGTGATCAAAGTAAAAGGACAAATCTTCTTATGAAAATCTCGCTCCATTGCAATAAAATGTGTGCAAAAAAACACACGAATTTCTTTAAACTTGCCTTCATTAATTTGACCTTCCAAGAAGCTATGATTAATGCTTTTAATGATGTGAGAATATTGTTTGAGTACTATGAACCCAAGAAAAATGAGTAAACGACCAACGAATTCACTCTTGTGTCCTTCTTCGACGCCTTCCTTGATTACCGCGAACAATGGTTCAACAATTTCCTTGAAAGTGATCTCCGAGTGGTTCATAACACGCGCAGAAGCTTCTGCGATATTCGGATATGTGAAGACAAGTACCAATCGATTTGCGATCAAATCCAAAATTACAGGCGCGAATAACGCAATCATGTTTTGACCTGACGTTTGTCCGTGTAAATGACATTTTAAATTCAATACTACCAAGGAGTTTGCAGATTGCCAACATAATTACACTTTCAACCACATTTTCTAAATTATTCTCATACATCAGAAATTCTTGTAATTTACGAGCCCAAATTGGACGTCCTAAACAAAAAAAGGTAAATAAAAATTCAAACAAGTTTGATGCATCATTACAGAATTGTGAATAAACTGCATAATATTTTGCTTGGGAAAATATCAAGCAGTAATACTGTATAAACGTATTTGTTTTATTGTTAAGAATGAACGTTGCGAACATAATGGTACAGAATGTTTTGTCCGAGTAATGTGTTGGGTTCCACTAATGGTCGCCAGCAAAAATAATTGCAACGCTTACGGTACGATAATTTTAACTTTGGACAATCCATTTCTATAATTTGCTTGAATTAAAATTAATTGTCATCATAATAAATGATTGCGCAAGTTAGGCAATCCATAGATCAACTTCCAACCACCTTCATTGGATTTGGGACCAGTCCGGAGATCATCGTACGATTATTTAGATCACATGATCGTGGCTGTGGAGCTGGACAGCTGCGCCACCAATACATCAAAGATCGGTGTCACATTACATCACAGAATTTCGCATTCGCGAATCTTAATACATAAACTTTTTTATAAAACAAAGGTAAGTTTGTTTAATTTACGTGTCTAATGGCTTTTTAAACCTCATTTTAGTTAAGTACGAAGGACGTCCGAGACAAAAATCTTTTTTTTCCGGTTCGGAGTGAAGGTTACGACCGCACAGTCTACCTTACAGTTCTGTCCGTGCAAAATCTAATTACTTTTCACTAAATCCCATTTCTCTTCTTTTTCTGTTTTGTTTTTGAGTGTAATACTCTTGAACAATGACCAATACTTCTAATAAAATATTAAAGCAACGTAAAGACAGAATAAACTGGCTACTGCATTGCGAAAATCCCTCGCTTTTTGCATTCTATCGTTTTACGGATGCTTCCAATAAATCAAGTTCCTCTCGATCGTATTCAAGTTGTTTTTGGAAGCAATAAATCGTTGCGATGACCCAGATATTTCGAACAAGTTAAACTCGTCATGAATAAATACAACGTTTGTGAAGTGCATTTACAATATTTATTATCCTTGCATTAGCCACATTATTTTTAAATTTAACTACTGTATAATTAGAGTGGAGAAGACAGAAATCATTGGAAAGATTGGAAAAAGGAAAAATCGAAAGTATGTACTACCTTTGCGAATGTGTTAAGGAAATATTTATTAATACTTTCCACTACATACGATAGAACCAGATAGTGTCAGACGCAATTGAAACAAACGTCAAAATGCATGAGAAATTTAATTCTACATTTGATGAATCTGGTGGGAGCTCTCTTCAAAAGCCTCTAAGGCTAAAACGGAAATTGTCTAATCGCGAAACAGGCATATTATATGAATTTGTAGATAACGACAATATAGATGATATCGAAGAATTTCATGCAGAAAAGAAATTAGAAGACCATCGGATTATGATGGATTGGCACTCCTATTCGAAGAGTCTAAAGAAGATATGATTATAAGAAATATTGATGAAGAGACCCTCAAGGAGGAAAGTAAATTGCCACTAGCAAGTGGTGACATATTGTATATTCTGCGGATATAATTCACATGAACCAATGACGTACTTACTGTGCATTTCAGGTAATCGATCTCAGGTGAGATAATCGACACTAATATACCTGGTCCCTTCATATCCATTCATCATCCAATTCTGAATTATGCTCATTCTCAGAATCTTCAAACTTACCCCAGATCTCCTTAACCAAGAGGTCGTTCTCATCTCTGACTGAGAAATTTTCAATATCCTATTGCAATAATTCGATTCCCAGAGGAATCCCCCTGAATTGTAATATTGCCCTGTATTAGAATGGATTAGCTCAGTAATCAAAAAAATAACTTATCATCACTGGGAGAAGTTTGCTAAAACAAACAGATCAGATGCGATGTTAAAAAGTTGTGATACATTGAAATAGATAGGCTTTAGTGGCCAAAACATTTCCTGAAATCATGTTTTGCAGTTATTGCAAATTGATTTTTTTATTATTACCATCTTAAACACGCTTGTTAGGCTGTTGTACATATGTAAAAATCGAAAAGAAGTTTAAGAAAGCCATAAACTAAAGCAAGCAATTAATAGAAATCTTGCCATTTCGTAATATACTCATATACAATCCCATTCACTACAAACCATCTCAACTGATCTTTCCCTTTAACTAAGTGTTTTGTTGCTTTTTCAGAAGAATTACCAAATGGCCATAACATTTGACTCTCATCATCCCACAAAAAAACATGACCATAACAATCTAAAAAGATCATTTCACATTCGGTCTCCCCAATAATAATTATATAATCAAAGCCAAATTCAGCAACACGTCTTACATAATAAATTAGTTCTTTCGGATCACTATCAAGAATTTCATAATCAATTAAGGTTGCAATATGAGATTTGTCTTCAAACGTATCAACTAAGATAAGTGGATCTTTGCAACGCGACGTTCTTCCATTTTTTCTTTCACATAATTGCATTTGAGACATGGTTGTTTGACTTTCAATACTTGATGACTCATCTTCGGTATAGCGAGAGTACGCGTGTATAAGATGACACGTTTTCTGAGGGATGATCATTTTTCAAACATCGCCTCCCAAGGAACCAACTCTGAGCAATTTCCCAAAGGATGTTTGCATTTGTCCAATTGTTTTACTGTTAGGATATCTGTCACATTTTTTGCCCAACGTAATGTCTTCATGTTCTTCATCCTTGTCTTTACTGCCTTCGCGTTCACTGGTACTTGACAACGAATCAACGAACCCATCATGAATTTCACATCTTTCCCTTTCCATTTCGATACTTGATCTGAGTAGGTGAGGTTCACTGTTGCCGGAAGCAAATTTGTATCTGGCTGTATTCTTATGATACTCTCTATTAAGCGTTCCTGACTCTTGAATAGATATTCAATTTGCTCCTCTACTGTCATTTTCTTCGAAGGCTGATGGGCGTAGCTCCAAAGGAGACACCAAACGTCGTAAAAACGTAATGATTGGTATCAGTTGAAACTTGTCTAGGAATACTGTTTTTCCTGTATGATCGCGAGGTATCAATTCCCCTTCGTTCTATATAAAATATGATTTTTGAATTCGTTTAAGCTTTTCTTTTTTACTCTTTCTCTCCTTACCTGAAAGGCATCACGAATTCTGCAATCAGCTCCTTCTGCCATAGTTTTTTAAATTGTTTAACCAGTTGAACGGGCTTTATAAAGAAATAGAAATAAATATACAAACCAAAGAATGTTCAAACTAGTGAACAGACTAAACATACTTTATTTGGTCTTCTGCTTTTACGGTTGCCATATATATATGCTACAGAATAACGGGATTAACATGAGTAACATGTGAAAAAGTATTATAATTCGTCTATATTACATCACAGATAATAGGTACATAGGCGCAGTGAATTTTTGTGAAGAATTCACGCAATACTATACAAATGTAAAGTTACATGTATTATTATAGGATATCAAAACTTTTGGATGCTTTATTAACAAATTCCTTAATTTTTCGTGTCCTTTCTGGAATAACGATTTCTGGGTTTTGATCATACCATACTTCGAAAAGGAAGATTCCATTATCATAACAAATGCATCTTTTTTACCGATCACGATTAACGATGTCCTCAAATTTTTTGACATCTTTATACCAACTGATGCTATGAAACCGATGCTGAGCCCCTTGCACTTTCAATGCAATTTGATGTTTTTGGAAGAAGGCATCAAGCTCTAATCCATTCAAGAAAGAAGGGCGATACTCAATTATCGGCTCCTCATGAAGAATTTCCTTGGCTATTTGGATGCATCTAGTCTGAAATTTGCAATTTTTATTAGATTCTGATTCTTTTTCAAGCCCATCAAGATACCACTCTAACTTCTCAATTTTAGCATTACGTCTGTTACTCTCTTCCATCATCTACCTTATAAGCTTCGCATTTCTGACATCAAATTCAGTAATATGTTGCCTCAGTGAATCTATTTCAGATTGCATGCCTGCTAATATAATATTATTTATGCTCTGTATGTTAGTATTCAAATCAGTAAAAAATTCTGATCAATGATCACTGCTTCAGATTAGTTAGATTGGTAGAGTTCCACCATTCTACTTGATCATCAAGTAATCTATCAACTGTCATAAATATATTGGAATTAGGTTGTTGGAATATTTGGTGAAACTGAGTTCTAATATTAGCAACTCTAGGCCGTCTTGATATTAGCACTATCACTCGTTCTATCTCAGCTTGAATATTCACTGAATCCATAAAATTCTTGACATAGATATTTGGATTAAGTGAAACGAGCTTATCTACAGCTTCTTTGCTAATATTATTATACCCTTTCAAATTAAGATACTTTAAATTAAAACATGAACCAGCAATTTCTTTAATAGTTATATTGGTAATTTTACAAAAGCCAAGGTTGAGATGCTGGAGCCTTAGGCAAGAGCGAATAATATTACAAATTGATGATTCACTAATAAAATCACAGCAACACAGATTGAGGTATTCTAATTTATAACAAGTATGAGCTAACGCTTCATTAACCTTATCAGTGATATCATTACAGCCAATCTCTATATGTCTTAAATTCAGAGATTTTTTGATAATAGTTATAATTAATCTATCGTCCCATAAAGCCATGGCACCACAAAAGTTGAGATACTCTATATTAAAACATTTTCGCATTAAAGTATTAGCATCTTTGACATCCCCCTTACTATATGCAATATCATATTTTCATAAATTTGGGCATGAGTTTAAGATGCAACTTATAGATTTATCTGTGATCTGACGTGCTTCAGCAAAATGGAACCCTTGTAAATCATGACAATTTTTTGTGATTTCAAACAAAGATTTATTAGTAATATTTCTGCAGTAAGAAATATTTAGATATTCTAATTTACGGCATAATCGTATAATTGCACATAAGCCTTTATCAGTTATTGTTTGAGCATTCCATAAATTGAGACATCTTAAATTAGAATATGATTCCACTATTATAAATAGTACTCTATCACTAAAACCTATACTATTTTTGATATTTAAATAAATTATATTCAGAAATGTATTCGCAATACTTTTTATTTTTTTATCTGAAAGTAAATGGTAATAAGTAATTTCTAGATAGGTTGTATTCAAAACATGAGCTGGCTTATTCTTTTCACACATTATTTTTACAAATATTTCCCATTGAGTACGATTTCTCTCACTATAAGTATATCCATCTGGAAAATAATGCCCATATATCAGGACATTTCCCTTTAGTTCGATATATTTCTATAAGCTAGGAATAGTACATCTATATCAAAATCGGTTAACAAATAGAGCAAGGTAGAAAGATTTATCTATCGCTAAAAAATGTAAAACCCATTCTAATAGTTCTGATAAATAAAAAATGTTTGATTGCGTTATAAATAATGTGTATTATATGCCGTATCTTTAATTGAAAAAATAAATTACACATATTACAATGATCACCGTTTCTCTAACTAATATATGTGATTAGTTTTCATTGAAGAGTTCAAATGCCGTTGCCTGATCATAAGGCTATCCTCTTTTTCAAAAATTGATTATAGTATAGTTTTACGTTGAGGAGGAATGGTTGTCTGACAAATGTCAAAGGGCTTGACTGGCGATGGTCATAGCTTCTAATAAATTCTTCGCACTATTCAATACGAAGACAAATACTGCCTCTAATTTGCACAAATAGCTAGGAAGGAGTGGTTTACCAGTTTCAGGAAGAAATCTTTCTTTTTTCAGAAATGTATTAAATTATTTAACTCCTAGTACTTCCGGATCCCTTAACTGTTCAGAAAAAATTGCATTTTGAATCTAAGTAAGAAGAAGTTTAGCCCACTCTTCATTCTTTTCTAATGATCTAAATATCTGAGGATTATCCTGCTGATCTCAGTTTTTTGCGTATTCAGTTACATCTCCATTAGATATACGCAAGTCTTTAATTTCAGCGGGATGAATGCAAAGCATGATCATTACACCAGCTAGGACTTGCACAGTGGATATCTTAGATACGTCATATAAATTGAGTCTCTCCTTAACTGATTCTAATAAGAAGTGATTTGGAAAATCAGTCCCTTTATTTTCACATTGATCCTTATACTCCTTTTGAATCTTATTAAATATGTAGATTGTTTCTTCATCTAATATAGCAGAGATTATTTTTCTGGGGTATTAAGTTTTTGCACTCTCTTCGAAGCCTACTAAGACGGGATGTGGTAGTGACAGGATTAGAGGATGTTATAGTTAAAGCCTTGGCTATCACCTTTACTTCTTTTTCACTAAGATTATCTTGAACAATACGCTAGGCTATACTTTTGATGGTTTCTTCATCTGAAATAATATTGAATATTTGACATATATTAACTTCACCTGCTTCATTCTCTCCTTCTTTGAGAATTACCTGACTTCTACTTCGGTAAATTCTCTGATTGAGGATTAGTATAAATGCCTGCTCTCTGCTAAAATTATACACTTTTTAGAAGCGCTGACAGCCCTTGTTTCTTTTCAGTTTATCTGTCAAAAGCTCAAATAATTCTGGAGTATACTGACTAAGTTCTTCATCATTCATATCTTTACTGAGTTTGTGTTCTGCAACGTACTTTGTTATAATTGCAAACATGGTTGTGTAAATATAGCTTGTAAAATGACTACTAGATTATATGCAACCCTTAGGTTATTTTATATCTGAAAAAGTTCAATTCAAAAAATTTATTCCGCCATTTATCTACCCTATGGTCGGTAAAAACTATCAGAAGGCTAAAGAAGGAAAAAATATATAACTTTCGCTCTAGTCACATTAATTTAAAATTTGCGGGTAGATAGGATATGTAGAAAAAAATACATAATCATGAAATAATAATTTGGAATTATATATCACCTAGTTATAAAGAACAAAAGTCCTATCTCTACTAATATTAATTAACCCACTCTTATTCGTTCTTTACTAAAGCATACCATTCTTCTGGAGTATGCTTATATTTTTTTGCCATTCCTCATCATCATAAATACACTCTTAGGGTTTTTTCACATTCTCAAACTCCTAGAGATATATTTCTTTGCTTATTAACCTTTCCCTTCTAGTCATGTAAAATAAATCATTTGGGTTCATATTATTTTCTCTAGCAAATTCTATGACTTCTACATCTACCATCATCATATTTCAATACTCCTGAAAAAAGTTAACATTTTTTTCTGTAATCATTATAAACTTATCAGGGTCTTCACTATGATCAATTGCCTATTTTCTGAGACGCTCTTCTCGTCGAATTCTTGTAGATAATATTTCATTATTACTGGGTTTAGGTACTTTTAACACATTACTGATACGCTTAATAGATTTGAAAGGTTTGCTAATTTCAGGTTTATTGATTACTAGCTTAGGTGTTTTAGAAGTCTTAGTAGTTTTAAATGTCCCAGATATTGAGGTGACTAAAGCTTCAGTTTTTTCTATTTTTCGAGGAATAATTTCTGGTATATTGAATATGAGTATGTCTGTTGTCTCATTTTTAGGTAAGTCGAATTGAGAGAAGTTCGCTTTAGTAAACTCAGATATATCAGAAAATTCTTTTATATCTTCTAGGCCAGATTCACGAAGCTTAGCTACAATTTTGAAGCAGTCGAGAATGTATTGCCATTTCCTTTTTTCACCACCTGTTTGTGTTTGTTTGCTCTCAATACTAATATCTGAGAATTTCTTTCTAGCGATGTTATTAGAAAATGGCTTTTCGCCATCCTCTTCACACTATTCAAGATACTTCTAATATAATGCTTTCTTACTTAACTCAACTACACTATCCTTAGCTCGAGATGCAATATAGTTGATTATAAATCAAATGGGATTAGGTAGCTGGTCTCGCATTATATCTGATTTCATTTTAGTTATAGGAATTTCTTGTGATTCAAAATTTGAGAGATCAAGACTAAGAAGATATTTCATAACTACTCCTGATACATCAGATTGATCAAAAACTTTCCTTAGTCACTTAAAATATGCTATATTTCTTCTACATTGTGAAGAAACATCAAAACAGATTACGTGAGAATCCCCTATATCTATTTTGAGCAGGGCATCCTGGTTGCTTATAATCATATACTCAGCAAAATCTTTTAGTCATTTAGATTCAAGACCTTTGCGCTCTATAGTCACCATTCCTTCTGTTATAAGAGATTTGAGATGTTTATTAAATCTATGCTAATCCCCACTAGACATTTCAGTCTCATTCATAATAATAAGCTTTCGAGCTTGGATGGCATTATTAAATCGCCTAAGAATTTTTTCCAAATTTGATGTAGCATAATGAAGATGTTTTCTAAGAACTTTATCACCAATAAAGTCAGTAATAATATTTTTTCCACACTGCTGTAGTTTAGACTTTAGAACTAAAATTGACTGAGGCTTTTTTTGGCTTCTGCATTAAATATGTCTACTATTTCTAAAGATATTTGTGAAGCTTCTCATTTTTATCACTAATTATATTCTTCGTATGCTAGAGAATTAGATCTATAATTTCTTTATTAATTTCTGATGCGGGCTTAGCTAAAAATCCTAGAAAAAGGTTGAAGAAATCTGTAACTAATTGGGAGGTATTTGGTAGATATAGGAGGAAATTATAATCTTTATAAAGTATTAGACCTTTAGTATCTGCTTAATCTATCAATGATTTTAACTTTATCAATTCTACACTATATTTGATTATATTAATCTTGTAATCAGCAAGCTTTAGTTTAGATCCTATATCAAAGAAAAGGCCATTTTTGCATTTTTACACTTAAGAAACTATAATTTTGAAGTTCCTTGCATATAGGCAACTGTTACTTGAATAGTTTCATAAACTTCAGCACGGAAGAATTTCTTACCTGAAGTATACATAAGTAATAAGTCAAAATACAAATTGATCTTTTGGATTCGTAATTCTAGATTGTTCTAATTTTACTGGAATTAGAAGTTTCCTTTCTCAATTCAAGGCAGTTTTGCTAATAGTAAGTTTTTTTAAAGGTTTTCTGGAGCTGAGTTCCCTATTATTGTCTGCCTAGTAGCAGAAAAAGCTGTAGAATTTTTATTTCGAATAATATATGCATTATCACTATCATGTTCTCAGTTACATATTAGACAGTATGATAGAGAGATACGTGATAGTGGAAATTTATCAGGAAAATTTTCAGATAGATATGAGAGTCTATACTCTTCGATGCTAGCCTCTTGAAGTAATGTTTCTACTAGTTTAAATT